GTTTTCGAAGTAGCAGCACGTTGTTTTTTCAGTCCGGACTGGAGCCAATCTGCTGCCATCACACACTCGTAAGGGGGTGGCGGAGCGGAATGAAGCTCACCCACACTGCTATACATCCGCTTGCAGCGACCAGACCTTGACAGGATGTTCGTGGAATAAACAAGTTGAAAATAGAATCGATTTTAATTTAAAAAAGAATTGATGGATTATTCAAACGGGAATTTCGTTACAACTAAACATACGCATTGCATGACCGCGGCTCCCTTCCTGACTGTACATTTGTATATTTATTAAATAAAAAATGAAGCAAAAAGTCTAACAGTAACCTGCAGGATAATATGTGTGTATATATGTATGCGCATAAAACCCCAGGTTGGATCGATTTTAGCTTAAGCTCACATCCTGAAGTCAAGTGACAATTACCTGTTTAGATTACAGTACTATAAAACACAGAAAACCGCGTACAGCTTTATGTAAATGACTAACATCACATGTGGATGTTGATCCGACGAAGTACTTGGGCACGAAGGAAGTGAACGAGGTCAGTATTCTGTAAATGAATCAATGAATTTTGCCTTCAAGAAGGCATTCTAAGGAATGAGAAGAGCAAATAATCTTAAGGTTTATTTTTCACTGCGAGACGTGTGACTACAACTGAAATGTCACATTTCAATAACGCATTAATCTATTCAAGAGACAGCGGCAGAAATGTTCGCTAACACATCGGAGTGACGATTAAACAAATTGGAATAAATTACTTGGAAAAGCCATTGATGTATACCTCCGAACGGCTGTACCGATTGTTATTGTTGTCGTTTATGTTACAGCCAGCGCAAACTATTCCAGATTTTGGATATCTCCACTGTGATGACTAATTGAGGTGCAAAGGTGTAGGGTTTCAGGTTCCAGGCGACATTATCAATGTCAATTATCAATCCTAAGATGTCGTTTCTATATACGTTGAGCCATGACGGGGATGTAGGATAAGCTTTTCTGATGCACAGACACCGTGCGTCGTCAACAATCATCAATATTAATACAAGAAAATCCATATCCTGACGCCGTTTGAGAGGGCTAAAAGATCCCAACGCACCCACAGATTAGTGCAATACGAACAACTCTTCCGAGGATTCACTCTCAACGATTAAATTGAAGATTAAATTCCGCGTCTCATAATCTGGATGTGAATATGAGCAACGGTCCGTGGAGTGATAATCAGAAGGCAGCAAAGCATGATTCCAATGGCGCAAATGACTCTGGAAATAAAAACTCATTGCGGGATTCGAGTGAAACTCGGAGAACAGGGGAAGAGCAAAAATTGAGCAGGTTTTATTAGTCGATAGAACTGCGCTGATCGTTGTCAATATAACACGAGTAAAACTGGACAGACGAGTACCTAAAGTAACAAGTCAGGAATAGCATAAAGCCGAAGTTCTTACTTTGAAAAACACTGCATTTATCGTTCAAGCCTCATCGAGCAGACCTGTTGAAGTTTAGACTCACTTATGAAAAGGCCATCGTTCAGGTGCATGTTTCCATGCAATAAAACGAATAATTCATGCACCAAAAAATAGAACAAGAAGCAATAACGTACTCATCCCATGAACACCCTATTCACTTTGATCCGATTCAAAGGAGTAGGCAGTGACTAAAATTAAATCACTTCGCAATGTCATTTAGTTCAAAGTCCTATATGAAAACGAACAACCGTAGGCTGTCACCGAATAAACTCATTGAAAATGTCACCTCTTCCATTTCGCCTGTTTGCCGAGCTTGGCAATTTGTTAGCAAACGTTTCATCACCAGCCAAGCTCGGCGAACAGGCGAAATGGAATTCAGTTCACCCGAGCTACGAGAATCGATTTTCAATATTTTGTCAAATGTCACCTCGAATAGCAATGAAATGCTATAGACCTCGCTGCGATTACCCGAGTACCACAGGGTTATTTCTCTCAAATTCGTAGTTATGCCTTGTCTAGGTCATGGACAAGCATTGTTTAACAGTTTCTCCGAACAGAGCGGAGCGGTGCGCATATTCGGATTTACTGTTCTCGAGTCACCATCGTAAACTGTGCATAATGTCACATCGCATAATGATGATGATGATCACAAATCTTGAACGCTTTTTTAAAAAACAAGATCCGTGTTTTACCCAATTTAATATTTAGGCATCATGGATAAATTTACGTTAGATTTATTGCAAAAACAAATCTCCATCAGTTCACATAGCGAATAAAAAGAGTCCCGAAACCTCACTTCAACTCCGCCAGAACGATAAAGCTCGACATTGTTTGGCTTATACAATTACTGTCCGCCAAAGCTTGTGTTTAACCCAGACCCCAATTATCTCCAAATGCAGGGTTTAAAACACTGTATCTCAATTTGATAATGATCTTGAGTTTCGTTCAAGTCCGTGATATTTTGGGAGATAAAAGTGCACACTGCCCCATCGGATGCGAATTCCTAGTCATTAGAATGGGGAATATTCTTTGTGGTTTCTTGCGTCTCAGGTGTTTTGTCCCAGCCCTCGGAATCGGGTCAAACTGCATAGCCGGTTGACGGATTGATTTATCCTTGATCCCGATCAATCTTGAACAAATGCAGTAGCTGGAAGTGTTGTTCATTGTTCACTTCATGCAGACGACCTGATTAAAATGCTGTCCGACTGCTATAGTCGGAAAACGATAGCAATAACCTGTCAAGAGAAGTGCACTATTTGCATCTTTATCTCCAGATTCAACAATGGAACGTTCATTTCGATAAGTGGCATAAGTGAATGTAAATTTATCCCATTAGGTGTCACTCTTCGTGGACAGTGGGTAACACAAAGTATTGATGTGTATCCCTAGACTCAACAGCCACTCATATATCGACAAACATATAACCACCGCGCAACATTTCAATAAGTTATACACCATGAACTGCCATTGGGTCCCTGATGTCTAAGTATGCGATCAAAATATATAACTAATCTGCTAATTTGTTTTCTTCTTGCATCAGAGGACGAAGATGCAAATGAAATGACAGCGACAGCAACAGTTACGCACTACTGTGCTGAGATAATAAACTAATACAATTAATTATAATTAACTAATACAATACAATAACGTGCAATGTCAATCGGCAACATAATCTAAAATCACTGTGCCCAAAATCTAGAAAAATCAACCGATGAATCGACTGGAAGAGGTCCCCTTGCTTTAAGGCCATACATACCACACAGCTCGTTCAGTCATTTTTCAACCTTATGCAGGAAGCGTTGAGCTCTTTCCAAATTCCATTGAGAGTAGCTCTTACAAACCGGTAGCTCATAAACAAAACAATTACCCGCGAAAAAAAAACATTTATACCCAGGCTTAGAACATTTTGGAAAACCCTCGCCCCCAGAGCCATTCGGCTTGTCCGCCAACCACTTGTGTTTCCCAAAGCAGACAACTGCTTCTCAGGGTGCGATCGCTTAGATCTCATATCTAGATTCAAATCTTGTATTTTAACTGTTCGATGATTGTCTGTAATATCCAGTAGCTGTATAATGCAGTAAAAACACAGTTCTGATGGAAAAATATAACAGACTCAGTGTGTTCAGACAAGATGATACAGTTAATCCTACCAGATAACAAATTTTCAAGTCTTTTGTTGTATGGAATGTGACATTTACAGCTGTCCGAAAAAGCTCGTGGTGCTGCGTGATCTTTGGGAGAGATGAAATCGATTTTTAAATAAGGAAAATATTTCACCAACAATAGGTAATACGAGACGGTATTTCATTCCAGTGAATTATCCTTTCAAAGAAAGGAAGTAAAATGATGTTCTAAATTCGTACCCATTTTTATGCATGCATTTTACCATTTTATCTGGCCACATCTCACCTTTTCATGCACTGACTTAGTGTGATATAACCAATAAGTATTTCATATACCTGAACAACAACCAATCAGTACACAGTATCAAAAAAACGACATGTTCTTATACGGGAGGAAACATTGTAGTTACATAACTGTTGCTAACAAACAGTAATTCAAATAAGCGCATTAGCAAAGGGTTACAATTAAAGATCACATTGCATTTTTATCGACCCGCTGGTGACAATCAGATTTTGATTAGCATGTTGCTAACGCAAATCAAGCGGAATTCAACATGGAAACAAACTTGTAATTGTGGAACACATACCGGTAAGGGGTCTTCTGTTCCAACGACTTGCTTAGGAGTACAAGCAGAGCGTTCCAGTCAGGTGTTCCGGGATTTGATCGTTTCAATCTGGCTGGCCATTCACGTGATCGCCCGACGGAACCACNCAAGGAAAGCAGTTGCATCGTTTATAGATTTTCCAGATCGATCAAATTGATTTAAAGCATCCATACTTTTGCTGGCGGAAACAAGCATCAGCTGTTGCTGAGCGAATGGGGCTGTTCCGTATCTTTCAGACATCAAAGCCGAACTTAATTTGCGTAACAATTCCGTTTTCGATAAAGCCCATGTCTGCTCCAATGTATTCTGAAGTTCTCGCATCCGAAATTTCGCCTGCATTTGTTTCAATTCCTCATTCATCTGTTCGTAGTGAGTTTTTTCTCTGTCATAAACGTAAAAGAGGGAGTAAGCGAATCGAATGCACAAAAGTGGAATGGGATCTGATTTCATGCCCTAGGCGGTTATTTTTACGTGAGTTTTGCTGTTTTACATAAATGTGAAGGGCTTTGGGGTTTCGGTACATTTGGCAAAATGTGACCCGTTGGCAACTGTGGGGGTTCAGCTTCAATTCCCCTCAGGCTATGGCATATCCAGTACCATGGCTACAGTCAATAAGTATTCACTAAATTAAATCTCAGCCGCCTATTGACCCATCAAGTCATCGTGACAAAAGAGTTAATCTCTTTCCCGCAAAAAGCAGCCGGAAGACCAACGACAAAGATTATATTTATTATCATTCCTACAAGTAACAGCATTGCTGCTATTATTATTATGATTATTATTACTATTATTATTATGAGGTTGGGGCACTTACGTTTTGGCTCGTTTGCATTGTTCTTCATATTCCTCTAACAAAAGTTGCATATCAGTGCACAAATCATTCACGCGCTCCAGTTTGTCCTCATAGTGTCGCCGGATATCCTGAGCATGACGTAATTCTTCTCGACGCCGTCGTAGCAGGACAACGTCCAGTTTGCCCTGCCCTTCTTCTGCGATCCGTTGGTCCTACAACGGAAGTTAAGTGTTGGTCCCTTGGTAAACACAATTAATCAATTATCATATTTTACAGAAAACTCCAGCACTCATTGTTTACCATCGACTGAAGTGGAAATTATATCAAACCACCAAACATCAGCTCAGCGTGTCGATATCACGAGTGGGATCGGCAAGGAAAACGAATATTGTTGCTCTGTTTAAGGATGGTGTAGCCTGTACGTGCCCGTCTTTTGTGACTGGCAAGGTGTTTTGGTCTAACTGCCAGTTTTCCGTTCGCACAAAATCAAGCGAATTGAATTCATGATTTGGGTTTCGCTCCGGCACCTTAGAAGATAAATTAAATTAAATTCTCCTCAATGAAATGCACTCAACGACGAAATTCCCTAAAATATCTGCTCGGAATTGCTGTTAATCAGCTGGTTTGATTCAAATGGGGAAACCCAAGACCGATGTACGAGTTCAGATACCGGTAGACAAACCACAAATAATTGTCGCATTCTCAAGAGTTTCAACATGGCGGCTATAAACTGTTCAAGAAGATGCCTACTAAGTGGTTAGGGACAGTTCAGATATGGTGGTCACCAGCTTGATGTGACTTGATGTATACTGACCACGTTAGGCGACTACCAACACAAGAATACATAGTCAAGCGGACATTGATCAAGCAAATATACATCTGAATTTATTGCAACAAGTAGTGTGTATGAAAGGGTTCCTCAAACACATTTACCCGGCGATGAAAATGAGATATTTGCGTCAAATATACTATCCATATAATCTATTGTGAATAATGTTTAGTGATTGCAACTCACAGAACCAGATATCAACAGCCGAGCACAGGTCAAAAGTGATAAGGGTCGCTATACTCGGACTGTGAGGATGGAACTCAGTTGATGTGACTGGAGGGCAATGACTTCTCTATGCCTAAAAATGCGGNNTTAAAGCAGCAGAAGAGTACTATTTGCTTGCGAGCTGCCTGTAACGATGAATTTTTGTCTTCCCAAATGCCAAACGCCTGATACGTGGAATCCAATACGAGTCGCCAACAGCTGCAGTGGTCGAAGGGTTAACCTCTTCGGCATGGTCGAGCTGTTTCATCAAATGGTTTAAGTGCATTGAACTGTGCATGAGGGTCGATGGAGAATATATTCAGAAAATGTAATACTTATTCTTGTCTAACAAGTAAAACGTTATATATATATATCATCTTGCTTTGATCTAATCGGTTTTCGTCCTCTTGGTTTATGTTTTGATAAAGAAATTCAGTTGAACATCTAACAAATTGGATTTATGTTCATATTGGTGCACTTCGACAAGACACCAACTGCGCCATCGGATTTACGCGCCTCTCGATTAAGTTGCCTTTGGGGTTCAATTGTATGCCAAAACCCTTTAATGGTTCAACGAGTTTGGGCATGATGACACTACAGGACGCTTATTCGATGAGCTTGACACCTCAAAGCCAACCTTCGAAGATCAACTTATGTGTTTCTTGAACTATGTTTTCAGTTCCTCCAGTATTGTCGATAAGGCGTGAGTAGCTTGTAGCCAAATGATTTATCAATTTGTCTAAGCTAGAATATTTTCATTAATTTGCTTAGTTACTGGCCTCTGAATGAAAAAGAGATAAGCAATTTAGAACATGTGTGCACAACTTCATAAACACTCTCAAGGAACAGGAATCATTTATTAAAAGAAACGAATTGCGATGCTGCTTTGCTCAAAATTATTTTTTAATCCCAGCCGTGATTTTCGAGCTACCACAAATTTTATTGCAATACACAAGGTCACGCAAATTCAAAACGGTGACAGAACAGAACTAAGAACATATAAATGGGAGATAAAAAATCATGGATAAATAAACTTTGGCCATAAATATACAAATACGACATTGGAGACCGAAAATTATTTGCAAAATGAGAGTGATGTTGCATATATAAATATATATATATATATATCACCCAGAAGATTATTGCAGTGAATGAATACAAACCATTTATTGTAGCTCATTCAAATATGCTGACTCCGTGAAACTAACGCAGTCATCAGCATCAGCATTATTGCACGGCGAAGTGCAGTAAGGCGAACTTCACTGATCGCTGCCATACAAGGTTAGTGGTAAAATTTAAGGTGAACAGAGATTGGATCTATTGTGAGGGGGAGGGAAGAAAGTGAACCTCTATGGTCAACACACACAGAGAGTGCACAATCGAACTCTGCGTATATACCGTTTCAAGAATGCCGATTTCATGAGAAACTGATAAGCAACTAACGCAGCGACAATCCAGTTCTGATTCCCACGTAGCCATACAAAGTCTCGCACAAAACATTAAACGGAATAGGATTTTCGCAGCAAAATGTTTGTACAACTGGTTAAATTTCCTTCCTCCGATGCATAAAAATTAGATTAATACAAAAAAACTTAACAGAAAAAATTTAAAACCCGTAGGACTATTTCAAAAGCACAAAGTTTCATTTGTGCATTACAATCGAAGCTGGCTTCTGAAAATTTATTGTTTACCACTTGAAAACGAACGTGAGATGTGCAACAAACTGTGAAGGCACAGAATTAATTTTGACTTTACTTCTCCTCTACACACACACACACACACACACACACATCTGACTTCTGCACCATTAGGTTAGGCCTTAGTGGATTTTCTTTCCTTCAATGGCCGTCACTTGGTGCAAAGCTCATTTGCATATGAACATCGGGAACAGTAAATCACCGCATCTTCAGTTTGGGAGAAATTGGCGTCAATAATCAATACCAGATTGCTCCACTTTTTAATTCAAACTGAAACTTCCTCAGTCTATGAACTACTGACGGCTATGAAATCAGCTTGCCTTTTCAAAATCAATGAGGTGTTTAAGAGAGTGAAAGAGAGAAATATTAAATAATAATAATAATAATACGCAAGCATGTATGTCCACCCATCTGATTATTGTGTACACAACGAACTCCGCGGTACAGTCGAATCAAATCTTCCACCACTCCCGTCCATCCGCGTACACATGTATTTCGACGCAGTGTAACCCATTGAGCAAAGCAAATGAATTTCGGAAAATCGGTTCGTATCTCATCGATTTGTCATCCACTGGTCGACCAGTAGGGGGTCAGTGAGAAGAATTTGGGTTTCCTACCTGAAAATGTAGTGCTATTTCCTCTTTCCACAACTGCTGCATTGCATTGAACTCATCGTTGCTCAACTGAAGCAAATCATGACAAGCCAACTCCAGATGGGACATGATTTGACGAAAATTGGGCCGATTCCGCGGTTTCGCATTCCTGTGGGGTTGATTTACGGACAACAGACGACAAGGGATGCGGCTCAGAATCGGGAACAGTGACGTGGATGCCACCGAACAAGCAATACAAAATTGAAAAACAGTATGCTTTCATGTGAATGAAAAGGCAAAAGGTGTAAAACAAAAAGGAAATCATCTTGTTAGATTTCCATGTTTACTAGTTCTCTTGCGTTTCCGAATTTAGGTTCTTCCGCGTATAACGTTGGAGTCTTGGCTAGTTTCTGCCGTCGGTTGACTAATTGTTACTAATAGGCGGAACAAAACGGTACAGGAAATGGGTAGTTTTTAGAAAACCGACTCACTACTGGTACAAGATACGGTAAAATTGTATTATAAAGTGACCTCAATAAAATATCTGGGTTTTACTATCGAAAATAATCTTCAGTGGTCCACACACATTCACAACTGTATGGGAAAACTTCGGTGCCTCTCGTTTTAGCTTCGGAAGCTCAGAGAATTTCGTGCTCCCCAAAAAATTTTGCTCTCCTTTGTTAACCAGAACATTCTCCCTATTTTACTTTATTGTTCCCCAGTGTTTCTCAGTCTATTGAAACAAGACTTTAAAACTATTCGTCATGGATTGATGATAATAAACTGCGCATCTTTAGGTTATGCCGGCCCATTAATCACAAAACGTATTAATGGTCATATGAATTCCTGTATGACCTTTGCCAATAAGATCTTAAACGACCCCTTCCATCCTTTGCATCTTGGCTTATCTTCTTGTCGATCCCACTCGATCACTCGTTCTTCTTATCGGTACCTATCCTCTCGAATAAACATTTATAAGAACCCTCTAGCATATCTGGCTCGTAGCTTAGCCAACATGGAGCGAGTTATAAATGAATTACGTCAATCTTTACTTGAATGAAACAAACGTCGGGGACATTTTATTATTTACACAGCACTCTATTGGATTTGCCCATATTTCTATGCTTTCTCCGATATGACAACCAGTGTACAATTTTTAACTGTAATGTAAGCATATTAAGCTTGCAAAATTTATACAAATACAAACACAAGGAGAATGCAAATAATCTAACGGAAAGTAGAGGGTCAAGGCCATCAACCGCATTGGTAAAATGGATGATAATGAGTTCACCCGAAATCTAAAAGGATAATGCCATAAGTTTGCGACTAAGATGAATGTATATAAATGACTCCGTTGCATTTGAGAATCCCGTAAATTAAGTATAAATCCTGTACACTAAAATGACCACGTCAAAATGATTTACTCTATTTATTCTTAGTCGTAATCATGGATTTCCGAACAAATCCCGGTCTGCCTCTGCTTCACCTGTACAATTTTGTTGATTTTGACCGAAACCTTTCCTCTAACGACGAAGACTGCAGTCTACGCAATCTCTGTTCATCGATCTGCGAGGCATTACTGGATCTGGGTGTTGTAGAAAACATCGTGCACGTACATCCCAAAGATTAATGAAACCAAGTAACGCACACTCTTCCCAATGAAAGGTAATCCGGCAAAAAATACAAAATAAAGTAAAGTGCCTGGATTTGTAGACTGGTAAACAAGCAGATGTTCACTGACTCCCGATCACTCCAACACAACGATATACATGTTCACTTGCAAAAGGGATCACCCCCGAGAAGGGGAAACGGGGAGCGGGTGGCAACAAAATATTATTCACACGTCCATGTTCGGACCACTGTTGTTAGTCCATTCCTGCTATTCACTAATGCCTAATGGCTCAGATGATACAAACAGTGTGCCACTGGAACGGTTGTAAATGGCTGAAAAGAACCCCGTTCACCCCAGACCCGGGTAACCATAAACAAGTGGTAAATGCCGCAAAGGCTGGCTAGAATCCATCATCATAACATTGTTCAGTAATGCTTTCCACTAACAGATTTGATGCGAGCCGAAATAAAATGCCGTCCTGCTAAAGGTCCGAACGGATTATTTTGGTTATCATTTCTAAGCCAAAGGCTGCATGCGATGTTGATTGCGATTTAAACTTATAAGCTAAAATCAAACATCGTAGCAATTTTAAGCAATTTTACTGTATCGTTTAGTTCAAATGTCTGAAATGATACGCATTGTTCAACGTAGGGAAAATAAGCACATTTGTATAAAGCGCGTTTGCAAAACAAAGACCAACATTTAAACGTGTATTCGGTTCTGTGACCCCTAAGCACTTTATGATGATCAGGGTTGACGTAATCACATTTGCAACAGCTACGATGAAGCAAACACGGGTCGGTGTAAAAGTTAATGTGGTATCTTAAAACCGCCAACATCATTCATCCGCTACGAAGTGAAAGCAGAGTTTAGGTAGGTTCTAAAAGCTCAGTAAACGAAAACAAAAAGTATCAAGATGCGGCACTATAGAACAGTATACAGCAAAGCAGATAAAATAAAAATTCCCTGCACCCAGCATTGGTTTCATATTGTCCTAAGAAAGCTCACTCTGCTGAGACAACCACAAATATTCTGTGAGCTAACGGTAAACTGGCCCGAATTCACTTACCAGCACATCTTGATCAGAATACGAAATTCAGTTGGACAAGTGGCCGGCACCGGGAGCCGCAGATTTTCACTGCCCACACCCCAAATGATCGCAGTGGAGTCCACATTGTGATAGGGTATTTCGCAAGTCAATAACTCCCAAAGCAGCACACCGTAAGACCTGTGTCGAAGAGAAACGGGGAGGAATAAATTGACAACATTCGCTTCTCCCAAGTAAAGGTGAACGGTATGGAAAAAGCCGAACGTAATCAATCGAGTGTGACAGGATTTTTGAATAACCCTTAGTCTGGATTGCTTTGTTATACAGCGGAGGTGCATCACCATCAACCGCTTGGCAATAAGCCATACATATTCGTTGAAGGAGGTCACAAACAGCATTACAAGCGCAACCGTCACAATAAGACTGCTTAGTGTAAATCAAAAATATCACTAGGACAAAAGACAAGTTCAACCGGGAAAGACAGCCTTTTATAGTAAATATAAGCACCCATCTGCGTCTCGTATGGACGAGAGGGTTGCCAATACAAGAAGGGACCATAATTTTGAATGCATGGGTAGGATGAGGGAGTAGACTAATCTCGTTTAGATCGTACGATTCTCCTTGAACGGATATCAGTCGGAACACATGCAGGTTTATGTGACACAGCAGATAAGTGACCTACAAAGTTTCGCAAAAAAAATATTCCAAGCCCAAAGGCCACAGTTACGAGCTACATTTATTAACGTACATACGTAAAAGTGTGTGAACAAACGACCATCATACCAGTAAAAGCAAAATGTCCACGGATTGCATTCGACACGTGACCGGTCTGAAAACACACAGTTGATACTGTGATGCGCAGTATCAACTTCGTTTGGTGGCAAATCGCCACTTTTAAAGGAAGTGATGAACCGAAATGGGGTTTAGACCGAAACTACTTCAAACAATAAAGACGCGGAGCACTGTGTCGTGGTATTGTTCAGTTCAGTCTACAAAATATTTATTTTAGCACACGAGTGCTATAACTCCGATTACCGCAACTGGATCACCCCCGGGGGCAACCAAGTATCTGATTTGTTTGTCTATCCCGCGTAGAATTGCTTATCAATGCAATAACCTTTAGTTCTCCAGACCCATCCTCTGCCAGAAAAAAAAACCGAGATTAGCTTAACCAACAAACGGTGAAGATCAACCTCTTTACCAGGTAATATTCGACTGGAAACCCAGTGACGTAACCCTTAGAAGGACGTTGGCTCATTTATCACTACTACATTGCCGTAAATCCTATTTTAAAACCAATTTCCTATGGGTTATCGATGAGCTCAGTCGGTAGATGCATAAATTAAAAAGTTCTCGCATTATCTGTGTTGTAATGTGTTCAGGATTGTTACACTACTCGTCAGTCTCTCGTGTCAATGACGAAATAAAAAAGCCTTTTTGGTTGACCCAACGCAGGCGAAAATTGTACAAAACAGGAAAACTGAGTTTCATATATGAAAGCAAATGA